CGAGGAAGGAGGTGGACATCCGTCCTCGCGTGATCATCGCCGCGATGCGCGCGCGCGGCATCGCAAAAAGAGATTGCCAGTCGGCCGATTTCATTGATTCCGATGTGGGAACAAACACGCCTGCCCCGTCGCGCGCAACGAGGCCGTAGTAGAACGGATCTCGCAGGAATGTCGACGCGATCTCTCTCTCTCTCTCTCTCTCTCTCTCTCTCTCTCTCTCTCTCTCTCTCTCTCTCTCTCGACTCGCGTCTCGCGTCGAGAGCTGCGCGACGTAACTTTTTGCACGCGGCCAATATTTCTCCGATGAGTGCACGCGGAAACTCGAGTTGAAGTGTCACTGAGTCGTCGCGAGAGAGAAAGAGAGAGAGAGAGAGAGAGAGAGAGAGAGAGAGAGAGAGAGAGAGAACTCTCCGCGGAAAAACACGGCACGCTGCACAGTGGGGCCAGATGACATTTTTTGGTTCAAAATTCTCTAGAGACCTGAATTTCCAACCGATCATCGACACCAAGAGATGAGGTTGATCCTGAATAAATTCCGAAGAGATCTATTTCGCCAAAATTAAAAAAAAAGTAAAAAATATTAAATTAAAATTTATTTAAATATTATAGATTAATTTATAAGTTAAATTAAAAATTAAAAATTAAAAAAGAATTACTAGCCCCAAAAGAGGAAAAAAGTATCGTTAAATGCGCAAAACTTGTGAAAATACTCATTATTCGACACTTATTTTTATCTAACAGCGTATTAAGCGGATTGAAACTATGAAACCAATCAACAGACACCTCGAGATTTATCGATCTTGAACCAGAAACCCATTAAGCCAAAACTCATATGCTCAAAATACAAAAACATCGAATATAGCCCCGTGAAGCACAAAACCGAGGGATTTTAATTCCTTAATTCTTTCTTAATGTGAGCTGAAATGATGAGCTTTGAAATTCTGAGTTTTCTAAAAGGTGATTATAAGTTCTGGGGTCTCGCATTTAGTATCCATAGGCTTGAACCCATTGAAGTCGAACCCAAGACACTGTACTTCGAACGATAAACTTTGAAGACAAACCCTAAACCCATGAACCCTGAACCGATAATTTTTTCAAGATTTCTAAACAGATCTCTTTGGAATTTATTCGGGATTAACCTCATCCATTGGTGTCAATGATCGGTTGGAAATTCAGGTCTCTAGGGAATTTTCAACCAAAAAATGTCATCTGGCCCCACTGTGCGCTGCTCGGGGTGACGTTGCCTTCGACGAAGGAGAAAGAGTAACGCGCCGAAGAGCACTTGTGTGAATAGACAGAGGAGAGAGAGAGAGAGAGAGGGGGAGAGAGAGAGAGAGAGAGAGAGAGAGAGAAAGAGAGAGGGATTGTGGGTCAGTTCGCCGCTGCGTTCCACTTTCTCCTTTCTTCGGTTTTCGTGGACGCGAGGTCCACGACCTCGCGGCTATTACCGCGCCGGAAGCCGTAAGAGCTTCCGTTTTCGTTCGATGACCGCCGCGCGATCGGAGCGATCGCTTGTTTCGAAAGCAAATTGACGCTTCGCCTCCCGATAGCGCGACCTCGGTTTCTTTTCCGTGATGAACGATGAGAACAGACATCCTGAGGAATTTCCCGTTTTTTGCCTTCCGCTCGGTTGGAAGCTCGCCGAGACCACGTCAATGCGTATTAACGAGTCGCCCGCTCGAGAGGGAAAATATCATCTTGTAGAGAGACGTCCCCCCCCCTCGCCTTCCGACAAATCCTAATCGAACGATCGCACGGCCGGCCGTGTCAATTTGTAGAGGCGGACGGTTAAGCGCGCGCGGATCACGGTGGACAAAAACACGGGGAGCGAGCGGAATCCGCGTAATCGATTCCTCATGCAAATGAGAACCGCTGCGCGCCATTACGCGGAGAAGCTGGACTCGCGCACGGCTGTACGCGCTAATCGATTCTCGCGATCGGAACGAGCTCCGAGAGGAGAGAAGCTTTGCGAGGGATTACTACGATTATCCGAATAATTACCCCCGGAGAGTTTCGGGGGACGGAGCGGCAAATAAAGCCGGCCGGCCGCCGGCTCCGATCGTCGGCGCCGCCCGCCGAATTCCGTATTCCATCTGTGCGTTTACTTGCACCAGCTGACATTGCGCGTTTAATCGAGGTACGCGCGCGCGCTTCCTCTCGCAAGTCGAACGCTCGCAAATCCCGCCGAATGTTCCATCTTCGGCGTCCGCTCGCACGACCGGCGGATTTCGTTCGTTCCCTCCGTCGCGGTCGCGACGCAGTTTGCACGCGACTGCACGGACGATAAAAGATCGTCGCTGCATTGAATCGAGATCGGCCTGTTTCTCACGATGGAAATTAATCACTCGGCTCCTTTCACCGTACGCGTTATCGCGACGCATCGACGATTGCAAAATCGAGCAACAGCGAAGAGAAATGAGAGACTCGCGCGGCGGGCCGTCCTGTGAGAGAGAATTCGCGGCCTCTTTAAATCCCAATTTCACAAAGTCGTTATTTATTTTTTTTTTCTTTTTCACTGCCTTTTAATACATCTCGCGTTCGACCCGCAAGGACCCGGCTTGGTTTTCAATTTCGCTTAATCCGAGTCGCGCCGCTCCGATTCATTCAGCGACGGGCGCGTTAATAAAAGAAGCATATTGGGCGACTGTAACGCTCCGATAAACAGCGAATCGTTCGTTCCTTCGTTTACGCGGTTATTAAATACGGTTCATCGCGCGGAGAATCGCGCCGTCTGCCGGAAAATGGTGACTCGCTCGGCGACCGAGCCGAGTGAAGATGCGATGAAATAAAGATGAGGCCTCGGAACAACGACTAAACAATTTTAGTCGATTCCGCAAACTTCTATACAGGGTGCTAAATTTCAAACGTAATAGGTAAAAACTCTCGAAAACTATGGAAGATATTAAAAAAAGCTAAAACACGTGTTCCATGATTTCGAAGGGAAAAGAGAATGGCATTATCAGTTTTTTATTTGGAGGGCACTTTAAGGGCAGTTGAAGGTCAACTTAATTTTTTAGAATAGAAAGCCCAATTTTTTATTATATCTTCTTCTTCTATCAATTAATTTGAACAATTTCTGTCTGAAACATTTTTTTATTTGTCCAATATTTTTTGAAATATTTAAGAAAAACTTGGTAACTTTTTCAACATTTAACTTACGATATCTCGCTAACTATTCGTCGAAAGAAAAAATAGTATGACATTTTTACTTTATTTACTATCAAGAATATATTACTATAATAGTGCCCTAACTTTTGTTAATTTAATAATTTTGAAATTTCCGAAGGTCGATAAGTTAACAAAAGTTAGGGCACTATTACAGTAATATATTCTTGATAGTAAATAAAATAAAAATGTCTAATACTATTTTTCTTTCGATGAATAGTTAACGAGATGTCGTAAGTTAAATGTTGAAAAATTTACCAAGTTTTCCTTAAATATTTCAAAAAATATTAAACAAATAAAAAAATGTTTCAGACAAAAGTTGTTAAAATTAATTGGTAGAAAAAGAAGATATAATAAAAAATTGAGCTTTCTATTTTAAAAAATTAAGTTGACCTTCAACTGACTTTGAAAATGCTCTCCAGATAAAAAACTGATAATGCCATTCTTTCTCCCCTTCGAAATCATGGAAAACGTGTTTTAGCTTTTTTTAATATCTTTCATAGTTTTCGAGACTTTTTACCTGTTATGTTTGAAATTTAGCACCCTGTATATAAGCTAGACTGAGAACTTCCATTGGTTTTCATGTATAAAAGTGACTCTTATCGTAAAATCATGCGCACGTGCGCATTGCAAGATCGTTAGTACTCTATATATTGAATAAACATTGAATATGCCATTGAATGTGACATTGCAAGAGGAAATATTAAATATCGGATAAATACAGGGTTACTTTGTAAAAGTATCTAGTTACAGTTACAGTTTTTTTTCACTGAAAAAGTAACTGGTTACAGTTACAAGTTACTGACCTTCAAAAATAACATGTTACAGTTATAGTTATTTAGAAAGTAACGAGTCATTACTTTTCAGTTACCTTTTTACAACAATTGTGCTGTTATTTTAAATTTCGTAATTGTGTAAATTCCTTCAATTTTATACAAAAGTAATTTGTTTATTATTATATTCCTCATATTGTATATAATTTTTGTGAAGTAGACTCATTAATTTAAAAAAGCAATAAATATTGATTTATTTTTTTTTAAGACTATTAACAATTATAAGAAAGTGAATGAATTTGATAAGGATAATAAATACTAAAAATAATCTTAACATAAAAAATTAGACTTTTTCACTAAAATATATATTAATATTTTATAAATAAAGACTTGCGCTCATATGTCTTCTCAAATTTGCAGTTGAAGTTCTACTTGCATGAATAATAATTGTCTTGCCATCGCAAATTTTTCAGAAAAATGCCCAGTTGATTTATGCCCAGTCGTTATCGTTATGCTGGTCCGCCAGAAATTCAAGTTTGAAATATATATTAACCAATATATATATATATATATATATAATTAACCAATAAAATAACTATTAAAGTAACTATTAAAAAGTCTATGGTCGATTCGCACAGATTTCCCGTGCTGGCGGCGTATGATTAACGAGAACATTCCGCGCACGCGCGCATGCGCGCGCGCGCGCATTTATTCGTCCTCACAATAGGCTCCTCTCGAAGGAGACACAAGAGTAGCGCGGAAAAAGAAGCTCCATTCAGACCCTAATTCCGTCGCTCTTGCGCGGCACACTTTTGTCTGAAAACGGCGCGCGGTAAAGTACAGAATGAGACCGCACTTTGAGACTCGATGTCGAGAAAAAACGACAAGCGCGCGCGAGTCCCGCTTCCGCATCTTGCGCTTCCCTGCGGGTAACGAGACCTGAAGTTACTGTAATTACGCCGGCTTTCAGCGCCCCCGGAGGAGCGAGAGCGAGAGAGAGAGAGAGAGAGAGAGAGACGACGATGAAAAAATTAACAAGGCAATAATGGGCGGGGGACTCACCGAGCGCCTTGCAGCTTCCGTCATGGAGGGAGTCCCCGGCAAGCTGAATGATGGCCATGAGAATATCCCCCAGCATCAGACAGGCGACATGATGAGTCTGGCAGCGCCAGTGCAGCACGTGATGAGAGGTCGGTAACAGCCAGCCGGCTGCGAGGGTGGCTGCCAGGAAGACGGCGCTAATGATGAAACCCACGGGATACAAGGTGAACCTGATGTCCGGCGCTTGCATCACCGGCCTGAAAGTTTCGAATCGGATCGTCGCGTTACTTTGTCGGTTGCCAGAAATGCGCTCGCGGCTACAAAGAGGCGCCAACAATGTGGACACGTGTCGGCGGGCGCCAATCTCGCCTTGCACAACCGATTCGCTCGCTCTCGCTCTTTTTACTCGTAATTTCAGACGTTTACTCGCAACGCAGACCGATTATGCCGTCATGGCGCGATTAATACGCTGCGAATTAATGCACACGTATCGGATAACGGAGCACCGTTTAATTTGTGTTACTGTAGTAACACACGCTTTATCACGCGTCCGCGTGATTAACCGGAGAAGACCCACAAATGAATCCGTAATTCAGACGCGGGCGACAATTAGCGACAGACGCGGCAGAACGAGCCCAAACAACATAATGATAATTTATCCGTCAAATTCGCCCGACATAACGATAACAATTAGCGCCAAAGCGACCGCCGCCGTCGCACCGCTCCCGCCCGGCCCGTTTGTTTTCGCGCGGCGCGCGTAAATTTGTACAGACCGCACTTTCCCGTAAGTGGTTTTTTCTCTCAACAACGGCGACCGCTAGCGAGACGGTTAGCGTGTATTTAACATGTAAATCGCGGCACCGTCGACACACCCCGGACCGCCGCCGCCCCGCCCCGCCCCGCCGGTCGGCTCACGGCCGGAGGAGCGGGAAGGAGGCCGCCGATGGAAAAAGGCGAAATTAGCGCGGCGCTTCGCCGCGATTAATTAAATTCGGAGCAGTTTTATCGACGTCACATCGGCGATTGACCGATTGGCTCATTGCCAGCGTTCACTGAGCGTCAGCCAAAAGTGTCCGATCGATTCTTTATGACGGAAGTAATACCGCGCTATCGACGATCGTTACGTCCGCTTTTAATTAAACCCCCCCCCTCCCGGCCCCGCTACTCGTTCGCCGGTTTCAGGCCGGAAGATTCAGGCTGGAATAATTTCTCGCCGCGAATATGGGTCTCTCCTCCCCTCCGATCCTCCGTCATCTCGCTCTTTCTGCATGTTACCGCTGTGCTCGGCACAACGGTCGATCTACGGTTCGTCGAGCTCGCGTTTACCGCGGTTTCGGCGTTCACGCCAACCTGGTCCGGCGCGATGACGCACGTCGCCGTCATAACGTGTTTCCCATACGCGTGTAACTTCGGGTGAAAGTCCCGGAGAAAGCGTTTCCGAGATCCCGTGATTTTGGCCCGCCCCCCCTCCCCTGCTTCGTGGAAATCCTCTCGGCTCTCTCGCGAGGACGCGCGCGACTCGAAATAGGTTTCGGAAATTTTGGTTATAAAATTGGTAGGCCTTGAGCTAATCTAAACACGCTCTGTAATTGATCAGCTGTCTGATCAATTATCAAGATAACAAGTAATAAAAATCTATCCATTTCGTTAATATCACAAATTGGTAGCTGGAATCAGGTTTGTAGACAGAAGTAGTACACGGCTGTGAACGTCCAAACGTGATCGGCCGACCAGTCACGGAACGTGTTCGAGATAGTTTAAGGCCTACCAACCTTGTGACTAAAACCAAAGTTTCCGAAGCGTACAAATTTGGTTTCAGCTACTAATTTTGCGATATTAGACAGAGAAATGGATTTTTTATTATTTATTATCATGATAATTGATCAGTTATCGAACGTGTCCAGGTTAGCTCGAGGCATACCAACCTTATAACTAAAACTATAGTTTTCAAAACTAATTTCGGAAAAGGCCTTTCAAAGAATCTCGCAAGATACGCACAAACGGCCGACTTTGACGGTTCTTTCGGCGCGCGGGCGATGTGCTCCGCGTATGAAGATCCTGGCTGGGAAAGCGATTTCCTTGCTAGATTACTTCTCGTTGACGAATTATGGACAAACGATATGCGCACGACGTAACGAGATACAGGTAAGGGCCTGTTTCGAAATCGCTTTCGAAAACTATGCTTTCAGTTATAAAGTTGGCAGGTCTTAAGGAGTAACATCTGAGTGAACGCCTGAAAACGTAGAGTAAGTTTGGGAATTTTTTGTAGTTAAATAACAACACGGATAGAAAATTGGTTTGAAGACCCATGAGAAAAATGCGGTTTTACTTGGAGAGCTTCAGCGCCGCCATCTTGAGGCAAAATAATAACAAAAAGTTGTTTTGTGTAGTTTGGTATGTATGTTAGAGGCCTTCAAACCAATTTTCCATCTATGTTGTTATTTAACTGCAAAAAATTCCCAAACTTACTCTGTGTTTTCAGGCGTTCACTCAGATGTTACCCTTGAGCTAACCTAGACACAACTGATCAGCAATTATCAAGATAAATGATAAAAAGATCTATCAACATCTCTGCCTAATATCACAAAATTAGTAGTGGTGAAACCAAATTCCTACACAGAAATGGTGTGGCATGACTGTGATCGACCGATCAATCACGGAACACATCCGAGTTAACCTTTATACTCCCCTCGAATCTACATGACCCGAAAAGACATTTAACTCTATACATATCTTACATTATCTTACTTTCATATCTAATTGACAACACCCTGTATTTCACGACTTTGTTTTCGTGGACTTTTCCCAAGTGGAGCTAACAATTAGATACAAAAAGAATTATGTAGAATCAAATTTCACACCGATCCCCGAGCAGAACATGACGGTTAATTTAAGGCCTGCCAACCTTGCAACCAAGACCAAAATTTCTGAAACCGATTTCGGGACAGGCCAGGCGTCTCCGCCACGAGCAGAACTCCTCGGTCGGATCTTACTAACAACGATGCGTCCCGTGTCAGCCCGTCAATCCGTCACCGCTTCGTCCTTAGCCGGCAGGATGCACGCGTGTCTCGGCAAATGAGATCTTCCAAGCCCACATTAGGTTAGGTTAGGTTACGTTACGTTACGCGACGTGTACGGATATACCGTAAACCTGACGTTGGACCATCACGTCGCGTAAGGCCAGTGCGCGCGTATCACTCGTTTCTTCACGAGCTGCGCTCGTAGTCGCGTCCCGCTGTTTCCACGCGCTCAAGAGTGGAAGTTCTCTATGGAAGAACGTTTTCGAAGAACGGCGGGATCGGACGGACATACGTGACCTAGAAATGCCCGGGGACGAGTGAAAGTGAGGAGGGGGGAGGAGGAGGGCCCTCGGCTTCTTCTCGCGTCGTCCGACGGCCGTAAGAGCGAGCGTTTATCCCTCGCGGCGCGCGGCTACCGTCGTGCAATTAAGCCGTGCGATAAATTCAGATCCCGGCAGGCGATATTTAACGCTCGGCAAAAAGTCGGATCGTGCTCGGAGCTTTAAAGTGGGTCGACTTGGCCGCCGGAACCGGCCGGCCTGCCGGCCGGCGCTCAATTTTGTTCTTCATTAGACGGGACGAATGAGCGATGATCGAGCGTGCAAGAACGACAAAAGAGCGCATTTGCATAATTGACGGGTCAATATTAGCGTTGTCAGTAGCCGGTTATCGCGGACGGGCCCGCCGCGATTCGGCATTTCGAGGGGCCTTGGGAAACCCGGCGGGATTTCACATGGGGAAAGCAACGGTAGATAAAATTACGAAGCATTTACTTTTGCATTACCGCGCAGGTAATTGAAGAATTGAAGAAGCTTCTGCCCTAAGAATGAACGACCGGCTCTTATGGGCTACGGCTTGCGCAATGGATGAGCAATCGCGGCCATGGTGCGTATGGTACGTGTTATCTGTTACTTCGAGCAAACAATAAAATCGATTTCATCTCAGATAACAAGTGGACTTGCAACGGTCTCTCTTGCATTCCACACGACGCGGCGTTATCTCGGATGTACGTGGAGCTTTATCATCTCGAATCTTCTCACGGATCACGCGGTGCGACGCAGGTAGAAGAGGAAAAAAAATATATATATATATTTTATATATTGGGTTGGCAAGAAAGTAATTTCGGCTTGCGCCAATAGATAGCGTTATGTTTGTGTCGTTATTCTTTTGTCAATGTTATAATTTTTTTCTTTTCAGATTTGGTAGTTGACACTCTTAGGTTACTATAGAAACAAATTCCGTGTAATTTTGTTTACTGTTGGTTCACGGTCAATTTTAACATGGAGTGCAAAAATGATCATTTTCGACATATTTTACTTTTTTATTTTCGTAAAGGCAAGGAAGCGGCTGAGGCTCACAAAGAGATATGTGAAGTTTATGGTGTCGGTTGCATAACAGAACGAACGTGTCAGAATTGGTTAAAAAATTTCGTTCTGGAGATTTTTCACTCAAAGATGACCAACGTTCTGGCCGACCTTCTGAAGTTGATGAAGACAAAATGAAAGCCACAATTGAATCAAATCGTCATATAACTGTGCGAGAGATTGCAAAAAGTTTAAATGTGTCACATAGAACAATTGACAATCACATAAGACGTCTTGGACTCGTTAAGAAGCTGGATATTTGGGTTCCGCACGAAGTGAAAGAAATTCACTTAACACAACGGATCAATATTTGCGATACGCATTTCAAACGTAATGCAATCGATCCTTTTTGAAGCCAATTATCACTGGTGATGAAAAATGGATCGTCTACAACAACATTAATCGAACAAAGATCATGGTCCAAGCATGATGAACCGGCACAAACCGTATCGAAAGCTGAATTGCATCAAAAAAAGATCATGCTGTCAATTTGGTGGGATTACAAAGGTGTTGTGTATTTTGAGATGCTTCCAAGCAACCAAACGATCAATTCAGATGTTTACTGCCAACAACTTATGAAATTGGAGGAAGCAATCAAAGAGAAAAGGCCGGAATTGGCAAATCATAAAGGAATCGTGTTCCACCACGACAATGCGAGGCCCCATACATCTTTAGCAACACGTACGAAATTATTGGAGCTTGGTTGGGAAGTGATGTCGCATCCTCCATATAGCCCCGACCTTGCACCATCGGATTATCATTTATTTCGAAGTTTACAAAACTTTTTAAACGGTAAAAATCTCAACAACAACGATGATCTCAAATCGCACTTGGTTGAGTTTTTTTGCTGATAAGGACCAGCAGTTCTATGAGCGCGGAATCATGAAGCTACCAGAAAGATGGAAAAAGGTCGTCGAACAGGATGGAAAATATTTGACCGATTAAAGTTCATTTTTTGTATAGAAAAAATTGAGTTTTATTTCACACTAAAAAACCGAAATTACTTTCTTGCCGACCCAATAATTGTCTGCGGACATTTCGCTCGATCTCGCAGACGCAGATTTTGCGGGAAAGCGGGAGATGGTTCCCTCCGTTGCGTCAGAGAGTATTAAACGCGTGAGACAAATGAATGTGATCCACTGACCTTTGCGGCGCGTGTTCCGGGCAGGCAAACACCTTGGCTATTTGATTCAGTTCCTTTATCCTTTCGACACAAAACTGGCCAGCAGGTAGGGAGACTCCCTTTATCTCCAGGCCGCCGTCCGGTTGCAGTACGGCATCTTTCGCGTCTCCCAGAATGGTGAAATTGTCGGATTTCGGACAGGTTGGGAATCCGGCGATGATCTCAATGGCGGAGTTTGTGTTTGGCAGCAGGGGGGGCGCGTCAGGCATCTCTTTCAAGTGTACGCAGGTATTCCTGCAACGAAACATTCGTTGCGCATTATTACGAATCTGTGCGACGCGGTCAGGACGATTCGGGACGATGAGTCTCGTCTACGTTCTCCGCAAAAAAGCAATCGATTTCTGCGAACGGGCATTGGTCCCTAAAACGAGACGCTATTCTCAACGATTCCGAGGAGGATTCTAGAAGAGATTAATCGGTCGATGATATTCTGCTCATTCTGTGCTGCTTGATAAACGATCGCGTCGGTCGCAAGTAGAATTGCCAGATGCAAAATGACTATTTCCGGGACATTTTTTAGATTGAAAAATAGGTTGTTGGAGAATTTTCGTTAAATCTGACAGATAGAAGGGTAAGACGGTTAAGAGATGTCGTTGCTTACTTGCGATGAATAAATGTGTGAATAAGGTACTGGCAGAGAGAAGTTTTAGACATAAATCATACAACTGACCTCTTTTTTTCTTACTACACAAATGGTTTCTCAGGTGGCGCGTCAAATCTTTCGACCTTATAAATCCTAACGATTACTCTCACATTTCTCTCTAGCACCAGCTTGAAAACACAAATATTGTGATTATAATTTTCTTGCAAGTTCTGATTTTCCGGAACGAAAGACAAAAGATTCCGGGACACGGGACAAACTTCAAAAAAATTCCGGGACGATCCCGGAAATCAGTCACCATCTGGCAACCTCAGTCGCAAGTATAACCGTCGTTTCAACGAGTGCAACAAACATGGCGCCTCCCAGCCTGAAAATTGCACGAAAATTCGAGCGATCACGTGATTCGCGTCGGGCTGGTCGCGAGGTTAAAATTGTACGCCGCATTCCGATCGGAGCGATCTCGAATTGAACACGCACGTTATCTTCAACCCGGAACGGACGGAAACGTCTCGAGCGGGTCGCTGAAACGCTCGAGGATGACGTCACACGTACAATTCATCAGCGGCTCGGTGCTACGCGCTATTTCAACGGCAGAAACTCACGCGTTTCACGAACGTCGAGATCGGACGTGTGTGTGTGTATATGTGTATATTTGACATATTTCGCTCGGAAAGCGCCGCTGAGGTAAACAATCCGACGACGCGGGTAAGCGGCACGAGCGTGACCTTGACATTGTCGAGGAAGTAAACAGACGGCTAAAACGCGTGAATTCAGCCCAACCGACTCTAAGGCCGGCCGATCTCTAAGGATGCTCTCGACCAGGCCTCCAATAATCACGAGGCGTGACAGCCGCGCAGAGATCCGCGAAGAATCGCGGACAGGACAGGACAGGTTAAATGAGGCACGCGCGCGGCGAAGGGAGACCGCCTGCGCGCCGTGCGTCGCCCTAACCTCGTCACGCTACTCGCGTCCGCGTCTGTGGGTGACGAAAGAATCCGCTGAGGAGCGAAGCGAACGTCGAGAGCAAACGCGAGAGCGCGAGGAGGCAGCGGGTCAGTTTTTTTCTTTTTTTCCTCGAACAAGTCGTCGGAGCGAGAGAAAATGTATTTGTCTCGCTCGAGCTTACTGACTGCGTCAGTTCCGAAGCTCCTGAACGCCGACGGAGAACAACAACACACTTAGGAGGAACTCACCCGTGCTCGTGGAAAGTCGCGTTCTCGCCGCAGCATCGCCGCACCCGCGGCCTCATCGTCGCGGCTGCGTGACTGTTGGGCTTCTTCTGCACGCAAACGAGCAGGGCGACGTTCTCGCCGCAGTACTGGCTCGGGGGGAACTGGGTCTCGAGGTTGTTGCTGTCGATCATCGCGTGGCCGTCGTTGGCCCCGCCGCCGGCGTCGAGCAGCAGGAACGGGTTAGCCTTCCGGTAGGGCACGTGTATCAGGTCGTGGCCGGTGTCGCACTTGGGGATCACGCCGTCGACGATGCGCCACTGCGGCGGCATGGCGTTCGACATGAACGTGTTCTTCTTCAGCGAGTAAATCAACGGGTGCCACTGCTCCAACGACGGCTGGCAGCGCGGCAGTTCGTTCGGGTCTTCGGACGATTGGAAGCCCTCGTCGTGTCGGCAGCATTTGTATATCGTCGGTGACGACATGACCGAGTCGTTCGGCTCCGAGACGACGGCCGTCGCGGCGACCGCCGCGGCGAGCACGACGCGGACAAACGCTCGCGTCATCGCGGACGCGCGGAGTCGCGGCAGCGGAGAGATGCGCCTTCTTGATTGAGTTCTCTAGCGCAGCTGAGAGTGTCTACTGTCACTTGACGCACTTCCCGCCGCAGCCACGGCCGACAGCTCGCGTCGGAGTCGCAAGCGGGCGGCTTGGCGAATAAGTCGCGCGCGACTTTCGCTCACGGGGTCATCGTCCGCGACGCGACGACAGGAGGATCTAAAGGCAGAGAAGAAGACAGAGAGAGAGAGAGAGAGAGAGAGAGGGAGAGACCGATAGAGTCGAAATTCTCGAGTGAACTTCAGCGAGCGACGACCTGGCAAGGACGCGCGTCTCGGCCGCTCGTCGGACGTGACTCGCCCGTTGAAAGGTTGCGCAGTTACTGACGCGGCGCGACCACGCGCTCGGCGGCAGCGTGGCCCGAGAGTGCGCGCGCAGCTACGCGCGCCACGCTCCCACCCCTACTCGACCTTCTTCAACCACCGAGCCGTCGTGCGCTTTCTTCTTTCCTCGCAGCGTGCCCGACCTTCGTCGGGCGTTGTTCCGCGTCGCACAAACGAGAGGGTGAATTCACGACCACGTGCCGGCCCCCCACCACTGCCGCCGCCACCGCCGCCGCCGCCGCCGCCGCCGCCGGAAGTGCAACGGTAACGTGCGTGATGTTATCCCGTTGGCGGCCGCGACGACGGATTGTGTAATCAAACAACGCGAAAATCGGGCATTCGACGTGCGATTCGCGCGCGATTGCTAATTCCGACGATGCTCGGGGCATAAAGTCGCGCTCGATGCGCACTCGATGCGATTGCACGAGTCACTCAGGAGAGAGAGGGAGAGAGAGGGAGAGAGAGAGAGAGAGAGAGAGAGAGAAATGTTCTTTCTCGTGTTTAGCTGAGAGTTAATTTTTCGTTCAGAAAAGCGTTTCTTTGTATAAGTCCTCGTCAGGCGTTCGTTTTACTTATGGCTTCACCTGAATCGGAGAGCAGGTCTTAATTAATATATTATTACGCCATTAACACGGAAAGCGCGACTTGCATAACCGGTTCGAAGGCGTTGCAATAGATTTACGTGCCGAAGAAGACATTTCTGCGAGAAATCCCGAGTTTAACGATCGAAATAAATTGCGAGAAAATGATATACGTATATAAAAAAAAAAAGAAAAGAAAAAAGGAATCAATGAAATCAGGGAATCGTATGGACAAACTTCCACCGAATTTCGACATTTTTACGGGACGCGGTGTTGCGATTACTTTTCTTTTCATCGAGCGCAAGATTGGGAAAATAACTCATTATTTGTAACGAAATTACAGTTACAGTTATTTTATTTTATGACTATAACCTTTCGTTTTTCCATTTGTAATTGTAACTTAACTCAGAATTAGTTACATTTGTTTGATAACTGATAACTAATTTAATAGTTACTTTAATAGTTATTTTATATATTTCAAACTTAAGTTTCTGGCAGATCAGCATAACGATAACGCAACGTGCGATACTTGATAGCCCAATAAGTATACAGTTATTCTGGCTGCATTTAAATATACGCTATTGCGTCATCTATCTTTCGTTAGATCTATCTATCTATCGTTCATTAGATATAAAGGAAAGATAAAATGACGCAAAAGCGCTGATAATTTCCTCTCCGAACGCAACCTGTATTTCTTCCAAAAAAATTGTACGCCTATTGGACATTTCCGTCGCGCGTCGTCAGTCTTTATTTGTTAACATAACCTGCGTTCAGCGTGAAGTGCGCTGCGCAGTTTCAGTTATATAAAAAATTCAAGCAATAAATAAAACATCTCAATCATGGCATTTTACAATCGAAGGATTGTAAAATGCCATGGCCAGAATATATAGAAATATTCGAGTTACAGCAAAAACTTGGAAACGAGAACAACTGGGCATTTCTCTGCAAAATTTGCGCTAGCAAAAAAATTATTCATGCAACCAGAACTTCAACTTCAAATTTAACAAAACATACGAGTGTTTCTCTTTATAAAATATCAATATATTTTTTAGTAAAGAAATTTAATTTTTGATGTTAAGATTATTTTTGGTGTTTTTAGTATTTATTATCCTCATCAAATTTATTCATTTTCTTACAATTGTTATTAATAGTCTTAAAGAATAAGTATGGATTGCTTATTTAAATGAATGAATTTAATTCGTAAAAATTATATACAATATGAATTATATATAATTATATACATAAAAATTATATACAATATTATATACAATATATATAATAATCAATAAACTACTTTTATATAAAATTGAAGGAATTTACACAATTACGAGATTTAAAACAATTGCACAATTATTGTGAAAAAATTATTGTGAAAAAGTAACTGAAAAGTAACGACTCGTTACTTTCTAAATAACTATAACTGCAACATGTTATTTTCGAAGGTCAGTAACTTGTAACCGCAACTAGTTACTTTTTCATTAAAAAGAAACTGTAACCGTAGATACTTTTACAAAGTAACTTCAACTCCTCCAACCCTGGAAATCAATGAGTCATACGAACGTCCACCGAGTTTCGAAATTTTTGCGGGACGCGATTACTTTTTCCTTCATCGAGCGGCGCTCGCGATTGATTGCCTAACGAGAGGACACATTTCTCTGGCCGCGCGTCCGAGAAGGAACGCAGAAAAACGTCCCTAGGATCCGCAACGCGGACGTTCCGCGCGCGAAGGGCGGGGGAAATAAAAAAAACACGTGATACCCGCAGCGGCGGTGGGCAATAGTTGCCGCATGAGATATGCACTGCGGCATGACTAAGCGCAGATCGCGCGCGAGATATTTCCGAGGAGCATCCGTGCGGAATCCGTAAGAAAATATACAGCTATGTCCTTGTACCCGGCCGCGCCGATATCGACGCCGCGCGAACATCGTTCCGCTCGGATAACGGACGAGCCGGTATCCAGCAGCGGCTCTCTCGCGAGCGGTTTGCGCGCGTGTTCACGCAGGGCGACTTCCTGGACTGGCTCTCTCGCACCTGGCTCGGCGACCTGCTTCGACCGAGCGAGCAGATAACTTTTCAGTCGCGCCAAGGTCGCCGCTGATAATCGCCGGCCATCGCGGGATAACAGTAATCAAGACGCGACCGTGTGAAACACGCACCGTGTTAAAGAGAGAAAAAGAGCTGCAACGCCGTGCGGAAGCACGCGTGCGATGCGTAGTAGCGCGTTCTCTCGACGCGATTTATACGCGCGTCGAATACGAAGATGCGGTTATCGAGGCTGCTCGGCGCGAATGCGCACGTTGCGGTCGACGGGGATCCAAATAAACCGAGCGATTTCCTGTGCGAGAGCTCGAGACGGTTCCGGGGACGGTGCGGATCCGCGGGTAGGATTTGCGCGGAAAGTACCGAGGATGCCGCGGGGATAAATAAATAAGAATAATAGCACGGCGCGGCGCGATAATAAATGAATGTAGGCTTCTCGCGGCTTCGCGAGCGCCCGTCCGTGATAAAGTTTGACTCGGCGAACATTATGAATTCCACGAAGATGTAAATCAAGGCGGGGCGCCTCGATTTTAGGGAGGCTTCCACAGCCGGACGCTATCTTTCAAGGTTAACGACTCGAATAATATTCAGTGTCTCGCGCGCTCCGCGCCGCGACGCGGACGAGTCCGCGTGAAGAATATCAGCGCGTCGTCCGTATTACGAAGCGTTCTCGAAACAATATATTTCCGCTCCTTACGCCGTAATTTTTCGTCCAACTTCTCCCGCGCGCTCGTCCAAGTCGGCCGGAAACGCTTGAGAAGTTCCGCGCGCGAACAGCGCGGCGGCGGGACGCCGGCAATTAAACTTTTTCGCCGTCTCGCGACAGCGGAAATTGGAAATTTGTGTCCCCCACCCCGCCGGCGCGGCGTCTGCGAAATTTTATCAATTAAAATATCGTTAGTGGCCGCAGAGCCGCCTAGCCGAGACGCTCGATAAAAAGGCGCTCTCGCGCAGGATAACTGCCTAGGTGAGCTGTTTTTTCTTCTAACTCGGAACTTCCTGCGAGACTTGAGAATAGACGTGAACCCACCGCGGGCTCTTCGTCTTCGCCTTCGCTCGACGAGGTGAATCTCGTCGAGCTCGAGCACCGAGCTTTCGTCCCGCCGCACAGTGGATCGAAATATAGGGAAGAGCGGACATCGTACTTGTGGAGACAAGATACGACAGCTAAAGCGATATATTTATGCGTACATAATCATAAAGTATTACTTTAATAATTTAAATAATTATTATATATACAATACTGTTTAAACAATAATTGTTAACAACAATTGTTTCAAGCTTGTTGTTACCGCCGGCATTAGTATTAACCAATATGCACCACGAGGAGGTTACACGATCGGATTTGCATATCTTGTGTGTGTGTGTGTGCGTGTGTGCGTGTGTCACAGCAAAGATTAAGACTCCATGATTCGTCACTTCCGTAGTATTTAATGACTCCAAACCCTCTCTGCTGTGTGTATGTGTATGTGTGTGAGTGTGTTTATAGTAACATTTCTAATGTCTCGGGAAAAATGTCTTGTCTTTTCTTGTTATTTTTTCTTTCTGGGTCTTAGGTTTGAAATTATGAGGTCAGAGGAGACTAATAAGTGGTGTAAAATAGTAATAAGTGATGAAATAGCTAAAGCTACCGTATTTCATCTCCACAAGTGTAAGACATGTATATATTGGGATATTTTCGGGATTCTCTTTTTCAATAAATGGATATATTTCTCAAAATTGCAGATAGTAGTTGCAGCTGAAAAAGATGTCATTTGACGAAGTAGAATAACTGTTTAATCAAGTAAGACTAATCAAAGTTTAAGATACTTTAAGATCTTTTCTGAAAGTTAATTTATAATTTATTTATCGGGATTTTCTTCATGATATAATAAAATTGCTTGTCAAACCTCAAGCTATGTTGTTCTTTGATTTGGATATAAATGTTTTTCAAATCAAAGAATAGTCCATTACATGTAAAAAGGTTGGGGTGATAATATACGAACTAGAAAGAAATATCTTGAATGTAGACAACTCAATTGACGAAAATCGAGAATTGTCTCATTCGAAATATTTATGGTCATTTTACACATAGATTGGAACAATATTTTGGGAAATAAAGATTACATGCTATTTCTATGATGTTCCAAGTAAACAAATTTGCAATGGAAAACTTAATTCGAAGAAAAAATTTTTTGAGTTTATGTCCACATTTTTACACAGTTCGACCCACTGTGCGCCGTGAACTTCGCGAAGCGCGCTGTTGACGATGACACTTTCCGTTGTGAAGCGAAACGACGATCAGCCCGACGCTCGCGATTATAAAACAACAAAAGGCAAGCGACTGTCTGAGAACTCCGACGTCGTATCGCGCTCGGCTG